TGGGACTGGCTTGAGGGCCATGCCAGGCCAGGCAAGTCCTGGCTCCAGGTTTTCCTCCCTTCTCTCCCACATCCCAGCCTCACTTTCCTCCATCCTTCCGTTCATCTCCTCACCCCCTTCCTCGCCCCTCCCCCTCTTCCTCCTCTCCTCCTTTTCCAGCACCGTCTTCATTCCTTTCCCTTGGACATTTCCCTGAGCACCTACTGTGCCAGGCTCTGACCAGGAGCCAGCGGGAGGGGATCCCATCCAGCCACCCAAACTGCCGGGTAGGGACGCCGAGTTCCAGAGGAAGAGAAAGGAAGAGCAGGGAGAACTCTCCTCTCCTCTCCCTCCTCTCTCCTCCCCTCCTCTCCCCCCTCTCCCAGCCCCCACCCGTTCCACCGTTTCTCAGGCAGGAAATGAATAATGTAAAGAGAAGAGCTTTCAGGCTGCTCCCCCAAGGGCTCCCAGGAAAGCCCTAGAAGTGAGGTGCAGAGCCAGCCTGGGGAGAGGGAGGCGCTACAGTTCAGCAGGGCCATTTCCACCCGTCACTCATTCATAAAAGATGGTGGGGCCCGGCTCTGGGCCAGGCCAGTGTGCTTACTGATCGATCCTCCCTTCCTCCCACTGATGGACGTATGCAAACTCCACCTGCAGCCGGACACTCCTGAGCACTGAACCACCCATCAGCACCTGCCAAACACCCTAAGCCCCCGATTCCTAAGTCCCTAGGCCCCTAATCGTAGGCCTTCCATGAAGCCACCCATCAGCGTGTGCTGAGAGCCCTAAGCCCCGTCCCCATCCTCCCCTTAAAGGTGCTTGTACCCCGGCCCTCGCCCTCTTCCGCTCTCTCGCTGGAAGCAGCCGGCAGGGGTGCTCTGCTCTTCAGGAAAGCCGTGTCCTGGCCTCCCGGGCTCCGGCCCTCTCTGTTTCATCTTTTACGTACAGGGAGGCAGGAGACGCAGTACGCCCTTACAGGGTCTAAGCACCACAGAGATGAGCCAAGTAAAGGAGTCGGGGAGCAGGGGCTTGGGGGTCCGCATGAGGGATCAGTGAGTGCAAACCCTAAAGGTGGAAGAGACGCTGAGGAAAAGGCTAAAAAGGCTCAGGGCTGAGGCAGGAGCCCAGCTGAGCCGCTGGCATTTTATTGGAGATGCAGCGGAACCGGCCACCAGGGTTCCGCAGGTTCTGCAGGGGCACAGGATCCACCTCCGTTTTAGGAAGCTCTCTGGCTGCTGGGCGGGGCCGGGTGACAGGAGGGCCAGTGGGACCGGGGCACCAGGGGAGAGCCAGGAGGGAGCCCCAGTGAGGACAGGAGAGGGCGGCTCTGGCTATTTCAGAGCGAGGCAGGCCGAGCTGGCCAGTGGGACGGCGTGTTGTTGCTGGATTGTACCTCCTGACCTTTTGGCCAATCTGCCCCGTTAGACGGTATGCTCCATGAGGGCCGGAGCCGGCTGGTCCTGTCCAGGGCGGTTCCCCAGGACACAGCACAGGCACTGGATACGCCCGAAGGCACGCTGACAAGTTAGGGAAGGAGAGCGCGGGCGGACTTGATGACGACACCCCGTTTCTGGCTCGGCCTCGGGAAGGGCGGGGGTCGCACGTGGAGAGAGGAGGACAGGGCAGACTGGGAGTCAAAGCCCAGGGTCCGGGAGTGGTGGAGGGGCCCGGCGGGGCCGGGCAGGCAGGGCGAGGGGCATGGAGAGAGGGAGGGGAGAGCAAAACATTGGCTATGTGGGTCAGCATTGTACCCCTAGCATGGAAAGCAGCTCTGGAACAGAGAAAAGGCTCACTGTGTGTTTGCTGAATGAATGAATGAGTGAATGAGTGAGTGAGTGAATGGAGTTGAGAGGAGAGGTCTGGGCTGGAACCGTCACCGTGGCCACCATGCCGGAAGGTGTTTAAGGCTGTGAGAGTAATGAGGTCACCCAGGAAGGAGAGCAGAGAGAAAGGAGGGGACCCCACAGGCACCCCACCTCCCCAGGCTGGGTACTGCTGATTTGGGCAGCAGAGCCCGCAATTCCAGGAGACTGTTAGGGAGCAGCCCAGAGGCAGGCAAAGTGGCCGAGGGCGGGGCTGGCCCACAGCCCAAGGGGGAAAGGAGAAGCTTCAGACGCCAACAGAGCAGGTCCTGACCTTGACCTGCAGCCACAGGTCTCCTCCTTCCTCCCTTTCAACTGAGGCTGCCCAGAGAGCAGGCCCCAGAGTCCCCGGCGGCCCCCGAGGCCCTCAGCAACACATACCGTCTGGGCACAGGTGTGGCCACCACAGTCCCAGGGGCGAGCAGCTCGGTGCCCCCTACTGGGCGGGGTCCAGAGTGCACACACAGAGCCTGGAGCGGGCATGAAGGCGGGTACTCACCATGACGAGGCTGCGGGGGAGGCACCCTGGGTACCGGTTAACCCAGGCCCAGGGAATCCGGGCACCTGACGCCGCCTCCATCCCGCACACACCAGGGGCTGGCCGGGGAGAGGCAGGCCGGGGAGAGGCTGGCCGAGTCTCGCAGGGAATTCCCGAGTGAAGGACTTGGAGGGAAATCATCCCCGGAAGACCTCATCGAATCCTGCTGGGCCCTGGGCCTGGGCCCGCCTCCACCACCAACCAGCTGGGTGGCCCACGTGCCTGTGAACACCTCCAATTGGAAGAGGGCTGCTAACTACCTTCCACTCGGGGCGGGAATTCTCCCCACACCCCCCGGGCTTAGGACCACCCAGCGTCTCCCCACACGTCCAGGGGGGGACCTGCCCGGTGCACAGCCCCGCAGTGCCGTTAGAGGCATCTCTGCCCGGCCTGAGGCATCTCTCCCGTCCTCTGTGCACCGAAGGGCTGCTGTCCGGTTCCCATCCGGCGCACACCTGGGTTACGGCTCGTCCCAGGTGCCTCTCCTTTTCGCTCCCTCTCTCCTCTCTCCCTGAGCATGCCCTCCGGTGAGGACTGGGAAAAATAAAGAAAGGTCCTTTCCAAAGGCCTGGGAGGACCCACACCGGACGGGAGCGGTGTCCCCTGGGCGGAGAGGGCACTGAGGGAAGTGGTGGGCTCCCGCGGTGTGTGCCATTCCTTCGATGGCGACGTTCGTTCACTGTGCCAGGGCCAGGCAAACAGAAGGCTCTTCACAGATGAGGAAACAGAGGCTCCCACAGCTCCAGCCACCTGCCCCAGGCCACCCAGGGAGAGACGGACCCAAGTCCCTCTGACCACCGGAGGCAGTCTCCATCACCAGTGCCCCGCTCTTTAACCGGCTCCCTCCCTCGGGCTCCCCACCAGCTTCCGGACCAGAGGAAGCCCAGCCTGCACACACACACACACACACACACACCCGGTTTCTGGAAGGTGGGAGGGGCTCCCTCTTTTCTCACTGACTCTCCGCCCTCATGCACCCAGAGCCTCTCCCCTCCAGGGGTCACCGGGACCCCGGCTGCATCTCCTTGGGGCCCCTGAGGACCACCTGGCAGCTGGTCCCGGGCTGCTGGCTGGCTCTCTGGCCCCGGCCATGAAACGGTCCCGCACGATCTATATATAAACCGGCCATCTTGGGCGTGGGCCCTGGTGCCTAACGTCAGGGAGGAGCCAGCAGTGCGTCCCACTCCATTACCACCGGCTGCAAATGGCTTCTCCTGTCTGGGGGGAGGGGGTCAGAGGGGAGGGGGAGGGTCAAAGCCCCGACTTGCCCTCCGCAGCAGCTGAGGAGAGATCTTATCTTTAATTGACAACTGGCCGCCTGCCATGCCTCCCTCTGGCCCAGGCTCCAGGCCCAATTCTCCCTTCCCTTCAGGAACAGGCAGGCTTCCCTCGCATCTCCCCCTCCCCTTCCCCCTCCCCCGTGTCCTCGTCCTCACCCCCGCTGCTCTGTCCTCCGTCCGTCCGTGTGGCTGGATGCAGCGATGGCAGAACTCTGGGGAGAGAGCCCGAGAGCTGCAGGAGAGGGTGGGGCGGGGACGGATGCTGTGGTGCATCTACCGTGTGCCACACGGAGGCGCCAGTTCTTTCCCCGCGCCGCTGCCTCCCATTCCGCAGACAGGGAGGCCGAGGGTCGGCGAGGCTGCCCCAGGCGACTCACCTAGTGAGCGGCAGGGGCAGACTCCGAACCGAGGCCCTGAGGCTCTGTGATGCCCGGAGTAGGCGTAAGAAGTCGGACAGGAGTCAGGAGACCTGCCAGGCTGGTGTGGCTCAGTGGCTGAGCGCCAGCCCACACAAACCAGGAGCTCACAGCTTGATTCCTGGTCGGGGAACATGCCCCGTTTCAGGCTCAGTCCCCAGGGGGAGGGTGTGTGCAAGAGGCAGCCGCCTGATGCTTCTCTCATCGTGAATGTTCCTCCCCCTCTCCCTTCCTCTCTCAGAAATCAATAAAAACGTATTTTTTTTTTTTTTTAAAGAAAAAGAGTAAGGAGAACCAACACACACCCAGACCTGGCTGTGGAACGCACAGGGCAAAATGCAAGCCAAGGGTCCCTCCAAAACCGTCAGCCGTTCCCGTCAGCGGCAGCTGAGGTGCCGTCAAGCGTGGGCCCTGCGTGTGCCCTCACGTGACAGGGGCCCTGTCACTCCCCACCACCCTGCCCTCTCCGGGCCCTGGCGGCGCTCCTGGCCCGGCCCTAAGCGGTCCCGGCTGTGCCACCAGCCCCTCGCCGGCCTCGGTTCACCAGCCATCCGGGCCTCGCAGGCTCTGGCACCCCCAGGGCCCTGGCCCACATAAGGTGGTGCGACTTGGGGGGGACGGGGGGAAAGGGCCTGCACAAACCAGCGGGCACTGGCTGCTGCCTAACCAGCATCACTCCTCCCCGTGGCGGCGGGAGGCGGCGGGCAGGGGCCTCCGAACCCGGCTGGAGGCAGGAGCGGCTCAGGCTGTGACCCTGGGCAGCTCAGGCTCCTCCCCGAGCACCGGTGTCTCCCCCCGAGTGGCTGGTTCCTGGTGGGGGTGGGGTCAGGAGGAGGGGGTTGCATGTCTCAGGTGTCGGGATGGGGGCCCAGGGGGGGGCCCCACAGACACGAGCGGGAGCGGAAGGAGAGGCAGAGGCTGAGGCTCACACGCAGGAGCAGGGCAGCTCCGGATGTCTTTATTGAGGGGCAAGCACAGCATGGCAGTCGAAGGCATGCAGACAGGGTGACAGGGCCCTGGCCTAGGCGTGCCTCAGACACACAGGGGCGGGGGAGTGGGCGTGGGGAGGGGGCGCCGAGGGAGGGGCAGAGGCCAAGGTGGGAGGGGTCCCCCGGCCTCCGCTATTGCACGCATCCTCTGGCCGCGGCCAGGAAGTACAGTATTGCTACTGGTCTCCGCTCGCCCGAGGCTTCCCTGCTCAGAGCCCTGAGCCCGGGGGCAGACAGGCCCCTTCCCCGCCTGTCTGCCCGGCAGCATCGTGGGAAACACACGGATGAGGGAGACGGAAAAACCAAAGATAAAAAAAAAAAAACCCCAAATGCCTCCTCAGTCAAGGACACAGGTAACGGGGGAAAGGGGTGAAGGAAGCTGTAGAGAAGCCCCTGGAAGTCCCCCCACGACGGGGGCGTGGGGCGGGAGGTAGAACCCCAATCTGGGGTGGGGTGGGGCTCATGGGGCAGTGACCCCGGAGGGAACCTGTCCTTGCACAGGCCCCGGGCCCACGGGGACGCCCCTACAGGGCGGGGCGGGCGCTTCCCAGGCTCACGCTCCCCGGGACATTCCACGCACAACACGAACACGGGGTCCGGGGAGGAAGGGAGGGGGGGCCTGGGGGAGGGGCAGGGCTCGGGGAGACAGCCTGACGAAGACAGACCACCAACAGCACGTGCACTACACACACGAGAACAGCATGTATGACTATGGAGACTATGTGTGCATAGACAGCCCTTCGGTCACAACAGGACGCCGGCCGGGCCCGGCGGCTCCGGGCCCCGAGGCTCACGCGGGCGAGAGGCGCTCCGTCAGTCCCGTGCCAGCACGTCTTGCCCGGCGAGAGGTGCTTGCCTGGGTTCCAGAGTCCCCCTAAGCCTCTGGCTGGCTGTCTGTCTGCCTGTCCCTCTCACGCTGCTGCCGCTTTAAGAGAGGGTGAGGACTTCGGCCTGGGCATAGTTGGACGAGAGGGCGTCCTGGCAGGTCTCTGCGTCAGAGAGCACAGGAGTGAGACGCTGGCACCGCGCACGTCGGCCCAACGTTGCCTCGGGGGGGGGGGGGGGCGCGGGCGGTGGAGGGCAAGGCGTTCAGCAAGGGAAAGGGAGTGGCAGGGAACGGGACTTTAGGAGGAAGGCAGCTGCCGGGAGGCTGAGGGCCGGAGAGCAGGCCGGGAGCAGAGCTGGGCGGCACGGGGACACGGGGCTCAGAGGGAGGCAGGGTGGGCCCCGGTCTGCATCCCTGCGCGGGGCAGAGGGACAGGAGCCCCGGAGAGAGGGACCCCGCTCTGCAGCCCGGCCCAGGCAGGGGGGGAGCGCCTGCTTGGCCTGCCACCCCTGAGCCAGCACCCGGCTGCTGCCTGCCCACTTGGTGTCCCCCCTCCCCCCAGCCCCAACCCCCGAGGCTCCATCTGCCGCCACCACCTGGGGCCGCTCATTGTTCCACAGGCTCAGCCTGGCATCCCCAGCCCCTTCCTCCTCAGCAGGCAGAGCCCCAGGGCTGGAGGCTGAACACGGACCAGGAGGGCTGAGGGGCGCGAATGTGCCATCCTTGTTGGAAAAACAGGCCCAGCTGGTCCCCCCCGCCCGCGCCCCCCCGGGCTGCGAAGTGGCCTCCGCCCCGATACAAACTGTACAAACCGAGCGTGGGGCGGACAGCTCCCAGGCTGCCCCCTGCTCTGCGGGAGGGGCTGGGCCCAGCTGTGGAGGAGAGGCTTCTAGAAGCCAGGGATCGGGGACAGGTTCAAGTCAGGCTCCAAGGTGAAGTGCCCTGGGCTGCCAGGCTGTGGGGGAAGGGCGAGGAGAGCCTTCCCCGGGGAGGGAGGGAGGTCCGAGCCTGGGCTCTGCAGGCAGCCTATCCCCCTCCCCCCCCTCCCTGCAGAGCCCAGGGTCTGTCAGCTCCACAGCCTGCCGTGCCTTCCCGGGGCCCCGGGGCCGAGGTGCTGAGAGCTCAGGGGGACAGACCCCTGCGATCTCCATCACCAGGCGCTGGGTCAGGGTCTCCCCTACAGAAGCCAGGGGGCGGGAGAGGCAGGAGGAGCCCGTCTCCCAAGCATGAGGGGCTCCAGCCTGGCACTCCTGCCTCCCGCCGCCCAGGGACATCTGTGCCCACCGCTGGGGTGCGGTGAGCACGCGGTGCCCGTGGGAGGGAAGGGGGCGGTGGGTGCCGTGGAAACTCGGGCTGCTGACAGCGCCAGGGGAGGGCTGCCACTGAAATAGCCGCCTCAGCTCCCCGAACCAGGGCGCCGGGCGGGGAGAAAATAGCCGGACGCCCAGCTCGGCACGTCCCCCCAGAGCCAGCCCGGGTGCCAGGGTGCCAGGGAGCCAGGAGCCCTGCGGGCAGGACCCAGCCTGTCCCCGCGAAGGACAGCTGGGCCCTCGCTCTCAGCCCTGAGGGAGAAGCTGCCTGCTCTCCACCCCGATCCCAGGGCTTCCCTGTCCCTGTCCCTTAAAGGGGCTGCTCCCTGGGTCTTCCCCACTCTTCGGGGGGCACCTCACTGGGAGAGACAGTGGGAGGCAGGCCCCCCGAGACCACAGCAGGGAAGAGAGCTTCTGGGAGGCGTGCCCCGAGCCTGCCCAGGGCCGGAGAGGACACTCAGTGGGGTGCAGGAGCGGAGTGAGCTGACCTTTGCCCCCAGTCCGCCTTCAGGGGTATCCCAGCGTCCTCCCGAGCCCGGTCCTGCCATGCCCATCCTGGCCCTCCCTGAAGGCGCAGACAAGGCCCCTCCTGAGTCATTCCCTCAACCAGCTGTGTAATCTGACTAAGAATTGCCGGGCGCATGGCCCGTCAGCTCTCATCCCGTCAGGAGGCCCTGGGCTGCGGCCCCTCGGCCTGGGCTGGTCCTGGCTGCCTAGGCCCCCGCTCTGTCCCCGCACTGCCCCTCCGCGGCCCCTGCCAAGGAGCAGCCCTGCTCACACGGTGCCTTACAGACCTGTGTGCTCCCGGCTCGTTAGGTAAATGAACACACTTAATTAGAGGAACGAGATGAGGCTGGGGCTGGGTGGGAGCGGGCGGGCAGGGCTGGGCTGGCAGGGAGGCCGCGGAGGGGGCGGGAGGCACCAGCTTGGAAGCGGAGGAAAGCAGCGCGGCGAGGGGGCGAGGCAGGGGCGCAGATGGGGTGTGGGTGTCCCCCGAGAGGAGGGCCTCCCCGCACCCCAGGCCAGAGCTGGGAACACCCCCTTCCCCGAGGGTGGCCGCCGGCCGAGGTGCTCCTGGGACAGCCTCAGCCCTTGCTGGTCTGGGTGTGGGATGGACAGACAGACAGACGGGGACACTGGTTCCTGGCTGAAGGCCACAAGGAATGGAAATGTTTGTGATGAAGATGGGGCCCTGTGGGGGAAGGTGGGGCTCAGAGACACAGGATGGGGGGCCCTGAGAGTAACCCCGTCTGCCCTCAGGTCCAAACCTGAGCGTTGTGGGGTGGGGGGTGAATGCTCCCGCATCGCCCGGCTCCCCGAGGCCCCACGCGTGCGCCTCCCTGTGTTTGGGGGGGCCCAGGGGCAGGAGGCCGGGGCAGCTACGGGGCTGTGTGTCCGGGCGGCGGGCTGGTGAGGGGGTGAGGAGGGAGGGAGAGCAGGAGCTTCCGTGGAGAGTAGGGCGAGCTGTATCGGGGCGCCAGCGGAGACAGCCCCAGACTGGCTCCTGCGGCTGCGGCTAGGTTGCTTAGACTCCGGGACTTTTCGCGGCCTCGGTAAAGAAAAGGCACAGCGGAGTCAGAGGGCATCGAACTCCAGGCGGCCCAGCTGCGGGGAGGGCTGGCCTACCCGGGGAAGGCTCCCTGGTCGCCTGGGTCCCTGCGGGTGGACTCCACGGCCACACCCCCCGCTGACCTCTGTCCTGCCCTGTCCCCCTCCAGCTGCACAAAGGTTCGGCTCCCCGCTTTCAGAAGCACTGCCGCCTCCTCCAGGCAGCCCTCCCTCTGACACCCGGGCAGCTGCGGGCTCACAGGGGCGCGAGGGGCAGGCGGAGGCTGTGCCACGCCCCCCTGGTCCCCCACGTGCCCCGCGCAGGGAGGTGAGAGCCGCGGGCCGGGCGCGGGGAGAAGTTGCCCAGAGCGCAGGCACCGCCTGTTTCCCGGCAACCCACCTGCTCCCGCTCCCGGGTCCCCCTCATTGGCTGAGCCGCACGCTCGTTGCCAGGAGGCAGCGTGGAGGCATCTTGAAAACAGCAGCAGCCAGGCCTCAGAGCACCCGGGGGTACGGTGGTGGGACGCACCTGCTCCCCATCCCTCACGGTGCCCCCTCCGCTCCGTCACCTCCACGGAGCCCCTCACAGCCCTGGGGTGACAGCAGGGCTGCTCAAGTCCTCCGTGAGGGTGGGTCCCCTCCCAGCCTGGGCTGGGCCCCGAGTGAGCTGCAGCCAGAGCAGCACCTGGTCTGACAGGACACAGTGGGAGCCACTGCACGCTGGGGGGCGGGGGGGAGGGGGTAGCAGGGGGAGGCTCTTCCAGAGCCAGAGGATTGGGGTGCAGGGGCCAGGGGTGCAGGGGCCGGGGTGACCGGAGGGACAGGGAGAGGGTGCAGCGGGCTGAGCACAGCCGCCCGGGCCATCTCCCTCCAGCTGCCGTCGCTCCTGCTTCCGACACCCCGCAGGACGGACGCGGACGCCCCCCGCAGGCCTGGTTAGGGTCAGGCACCCGGGTCCTGTGGGAGCAGTGGCGCTGGGAGGGCCGGGGACAGGGCCTGGGGAGGTGGCCCTGGAGGCCACGGGGGCTGGACAGGCCAGGGGCCATCCTTGGGGGCCTGTGGCACCGCAGGCTATTCCTGCAGCCGGCAAGGCCCTGCCTCACGGTCTGGGGTTGGGGACAGTGGGAAGCGGCGGGGGACTGGGCTGGAGGAGGGCTGGTAAGAAATGGCCCGAGAACCAGGCAAGGCTTTGTTACGGGGGTCGGGGTTGATTTGGAAACTAGGCAGAGTGTGCAGGGCGGTGAGGCCACAGGACAGGGAAGACACACACACCAAACACACACACACACACACACACACACACACACACGGGACAGGGAAGACAGACAGACAGACACACACACACACACACACACACACACACAGGACAGGGAAGACAGACAGACAGACACACACACACACACACAGGACAGGGAAGACAGACAGACACACACACACACACACAGGACAGGGAAGACAGACAGACAGACACACACACACACACACACACACACAGGACAGGGAAGACAGACAGACAGACAGACACACACACACACACACACACAGGACAGGGAAGACAGACAGACACACACACACACACACACACACACAGGACAGGGAAGACAGACACACACACACACACACACACACACGGGACAGGGAAGACAGACAGACACACACACACACACACACACACAGGACAGGGAAGACAGACACACACACACACACACATAGGACAGGGAAGACAGACAGACAGACACACACACACACACACACACAGGACAGGGAAGACAGACAGACAGACAGACAGACACACACACACACACAGGACAGGGAAGACAGACAGACACACACACACACACACACAGGACAGGGCCTGGGGAAGAAGAACCTGGTCCTAAACCCCCTGGTCCCCAGCCACTGCCCCCCCCACCCCCCCCCCACCCCCCGCAGCCATCATTCCCGGCCCCCAGGCCAGGAGCCCCAGCTCCACCCCCACTTCTGCCGGGCCTGTGCGGGGCTGGAGCCTGCGGATGGCCATGGCCGCCTCTGTGCACTTCCAACCCTTCAGAACACACCTAGGAGGGAGCCCTACCCTGCCTGCCCCCCTGACCCCACCCCCACCCCAGTCTCCCCCTCCCTGTCGCCCTCTGGCTCTCCTTGTCACATCCGGGGCCTGCAGAGCTGGGGCTGCCCCTCCTGGGCTCCAGGCCCCCAGGCAGGACGGAGGAGGGGACCTCCAACCGGCTCCCTGTTCTCCCGACTCCTGAGGGTTTTGGGGACCACTCACCTGGGGGGGCTTGGCCGGGTCTAAGAGAAAAGCAGGCAGTGACCCCGGGAAGCCAGGCCTGAAGGTCACAGCAGGCACCCCAGGAAGAGAAGTGATGGGACGGAGGGAGGGCAGGGACCCCTGCTCCCGTGAACCCCGCTCCCAGGAAGCACTTGTTTTCCCCGTGGGCACTGGGGTACGGGCTATGTGTGCCCCCTGGGATGCTGTGGGCTTTCTAAGGCCATCGGCGGCTGGGAGATCAGGGTCCCCATCCTAAGAGTCGGGGTGCATCCAGGGAAGAGGAGAGGATGGCCACGGCCTCAGGGGAGGACCAGCCCGCCAGCCTGGGAGCCTTACCTTTCCGGACACTGCCGTCGGCGCAGGCGTAGTCCCCGGCGCTGAGCAGGAAGCAGGCGGCCGCCTTCTTGTTCCGGTCCCGGGTGCCGGCCCGGTGCAGGCCCCGGCGCTCCTCGGGGCTGGGGGCGGCGGCCAGGGGCTGGGTGAGGCCCGCGCCCTCCTCGTCCGACAGCATGGCGTTGGCATCTCCGTTCTGCTTGGAGTCTGGGGGGCCAGACAGAGGGACGTGCTGAGCGCTGCCCGGGCCTTCTTCCCGGTCACCCCCCCCCCAGGAGGGGCCCAAGGCATGGGGCAGGGGTCTTTCCTGGGAGACGGGGCCACAGATGCTCGGCCCTCACCCCGAGTCTGCTGCCCCATGAGACTGCCCTCCCTCCCCCAAGGCGGCAGACTGCTTCCTCCTTGGGTGGTCGGGCTCAGGCTGCACCTGAGGAGCTGGGTCCCTTCAGAGGCCGCTTGGCTGTCGGGGTGCAGGTGGCTCTGCCAGGGCCACACCATGGGGTGGTGCTCCCAGCTGTCTGCCCAGACCACCCCAAGGCGGCCGAGCCGGAGTGAGTGCCTGGAGGATTCGGGGCTCCCTGCGCTCGGGGGACCCTGGTGGGGGAGAGGGCTCCCGTTCAGCTTCCCCTGCTGTGGGCTCTTCCCCCGGCTCCTGCCTGGCCCTTGGACCTGCAGAAGGGGAGCCGCTCGGTCTGAGGCAGTGGCCCCGGCGTTGCCGGTCATGCCCTTCCAGTGGCCAAGCAGTGAGGCTGGGCTAAGGCATGGCCGGCTAGTGTGCGCCCAGCAGCTGCCCGCGGACCTGCACACGGGGGTCAGGTTTCCTCTGAGCCCTGACGGGGCTTTGGGGTCCAGCTCCAGTTCCCAGGAGCGCTGGCTGGAGACTAAGACTCAGGGACGAGGGCTGGGGGGGCGGGGAGGGGAAGGGGTGCCACTTTGGTGGGGAAGGAGAGGAGCCCAATGGGTGCGGTGCCATCAAGGTCCATGGGAGACCCAGGCACCTGCAGGGCTCCAGGCAATGAATGGTTTCAGCTTGTAAGATGGGCACCTCCACCAGGCCCCGGGGCATGTCCCCCAGCAGGCCACGGGGCGTGTCCCAATTCAGGCGCCTGTCCTGGGGGACGCCCCACATTGCTCACAGAGCCTAGCCAGGAGCTGCTGCCTTCGTGTCCGGCCTACCCCCAGCTCCCCGATGGCCTAACCCCAGCGGCTCCCACTACCAGGAATCCCAGCGTCCCTGAGGAGCCCACACCATTCCCAACAGTGAGGCTCCACAGCACCCGGGTTCGGCCAGTCTCCTCTCCTGTCGCCTGCCTCGGGGCGGGGGGGGGGGGGGGCTCTCCTGGGGGGTCCCTCCCATCCTTGAAGACCGGGGTTCAGGCCCTCAGGCCCCCGTTCCAGGACTCGGACGCCACTGCTGCAGCCTCTCCCAGGAATGCCCGGCCACTGCCTCTGGCCCCCCCTTAACCCCCCCTCCAATCCAATTCCAAGCCCAGGACCCAGTCCAGCTGGTGCTGAGCAGCAGGCGCACTTATTGGGCCGGAGCCAGCGGCCGGGAGGCTGGGAGAAGCAGTTCCCGGTGGACGCACCCGGGGACGGCCTGCTCTCCCGCTGACAACAGGCCCGGTCTCTGTAAAGACTCTAGAGGCTTCTGTCATCGTCTGGGTCCCGTCCACGTCTGGGGTGGGACATGAATAGCGTCCCCATTTCACAGGTGCGGAACCCATGCCCTCAGCGGGGGAGCGACCGGCCTCAGGGCACGCAGCAGAGCGGGCACAGCGAGATCAGGGACCGAGGCCGCCACCTCACGCACCGCCCTCTGCAGCCCACATTCCGCAGGACGCTCCGCCCCCAGGCCCGGCGTCCAGGAAGCGATCTGAGCACCAAAGGACAGAGGCCCGGCCTCTACTCGGCCCTCACCGGGCACCTGAGGGGGAGGGGGGGCCCAGAGCCGTCCAGCACAGCCTGGATCCCGAGGACCAGCCAGGACTCTCCACCTCTGAGGCCGTGGCCATCATCTCCTCTTCCCTGAATGCACCTCGATTCTTAGGATGGGTCCCCTGACCTCCCAGCCCCCGATGGCCTTAGAAAGCCCCACAGCACTCCCAGGGGGCTCACATCACCTCACCTGCCCGCTTCCTCTCGGCCAGCCCCTCCTCCGGGGCCGCGGGGCTGGCGTCGCTGTAGGTGCTGCCCCGGGGCGAGGTGTCCCCGGACTTGCAGTAGCCCGGCGACTCGAGCTGGGGCGGCCGTGGCACATGCTTCTTCCGCCGCTTGGGCAGCTTCTGCTTGGCCATGGCCAGCGAGTAGTACATGCCGAAGTTGTTGACGATGACGGGCACGGGCATGGCGATGGTGAGCACGCCGGCCAGCGCGCACAGCGCCCCCACCAGCATGCCCGACCACGTCTTGGGGTACATGTCCCCGTAGCCCAGCGTCGTCATGGTGACCACGGCCCACCAGAAGCCGATGGGGATGTTCTTGAAGTCGGTGTGGTCGTTGCCGCGCGGGTCGGAGGGCCGGGCGCCGATGCGCTCGGCGTAGTAGATCATGGTGGCGAAGATGAGCACGCCCAGCGCCAGGAAGATGATGAGCAGCAGGAACTCGTTGGTGCTGGCGCGCAGCGTGTGGCCCAGCACCCGCAGCCCCACGAAGTGGCGCGTGAGCTTGAAGATGCGCAGGATGCGCACGAAGCGCACCACCCGCAGGAAGCCCAGCACGTCGCGGGCCGCCTTGGACGACAGGCCGCTCAGCCCCACCTCCAGGTAGAAGGGCAGGATGGCCACGCAGTCGATGATGTTCAGCAGGTTCTTGACGAAGCCCAGCGTGTCCGGGCAGCACACGATGCGCACCAGGAACTCCAGCGTGAACCACAGCACGCACACGCCCTCGATGTAGGTCAGCACCGGCTCCGTCTCCACCTCCCGCCGGACGCGCACGTGCGTGGTGTTCCCCACACGGAGGATCTCCGTCACGTTGCGGTCGATGTTGAAGGCCTCGTGGGTCTCCAGGCAGAAGGTGGTGATGGAGACCAGGATGAAGAAGAGGGAGGCGAAGGCCACCGCCTGTGGGGGGAGGCGGGAAGGGGGGGGTATCGGTCAGACGGGGGCGGGTGAGCTTGGAAAGGGGGGGGGATTGGGGAGCACGGGTCACCAGGAGGTCCATTAGAAAGATGGCCCTCACCGGTTTGGCTCAGCGGACAGAGCGTCGGCCTGTGGACTGAAGGGTCCCGGGTTCGATTCCGGTCAAGGGCAGGCACATCCCCGGTGGGGGGTGTGCAGGAGGCAGCTGGTCAATGTTTCTCTCTCATCGATGTTTCTAGCTCTCTATCCCTCTCTCTTTCTCTCTGTAAAAAAAAATCAATAAAATATATTGAAAGAAAGAAAGAAGAAAAAAAAGAAAGAAAGAAAGAAAGAAAGAAAGAAAGGAAGGAAGAAAGGAAGATGGTGAAGGGTGGGGTTTAAGTTCACAGCCAGGAGCTAAAATCCCCTCCTCAAAAAATAAATAAATAAATAAAATAAAATAAAATAAAATAAAATAAAATAAAATAAAATAAAATCCCCTCCTCACAGGGTCTTGGCTGCAAGCGGCTGCCTATGGCTGCAGGGCCTGCTCACTGCAGCCTCTGCCCCTCGCTAACCCAGCTGTGCTCCGAGACCTGAGACGGGCCGGGGAGGAAGTCACCAGGGGCTTTGTTAAGATGCCATCTGCCTCTGCGGGGAGGCCGGGACCTGAGGCTCCATCTTCCTAACGAGCTCCCGGCCTGGCTGCCGGTCTGCAGGCCGCGCCTGGCACAGTCAGGCTCCGGCAGTGCCCCTCCACGTGGGCGCTGGGCAGGCATCACCGGGAACCAGTGAGAAACCCATATGCCCAGGCCCCGCCCCAGCCTGCAGAGTGAGCAAGGCTGGGGCACACTAACTCCCCTCCCAGGGGACTCTGGGGCATGCTGCATTTGGAGGCCCACTGCATGCTGGGATGTGCCCTGAGGTAGGGGGGTCGGGGGTGACCCTGGGCCTCTAAGGCAGCTGAGCCTGCTGAGCTCAGCTCTGACCCCCATCCCATCCGGAAGCTCCCAGTCCGAGCCCCGCTCTCACCTCTTGCCTTAGGATGCCCCAGCCGACGGCTGGCAGTGGGGAGCGCCTGAAGGAAGACACACTCCACTGCAGAGCCACGGGGGTCTGCCCAGAGTCACTACCCCCACCTTCTCCCCAAACCGGCACTTCCCGGCCCCCGAGCTCTGAAGAATACTCAGCGGTACCACGAGGACCCGAGCGGGCAGCGGCCGGCCCGGACAGCTGCGGGCTCCCGGCAGAGCGATGACAGCGGCCCTCAGCAGAGGCACGGCTGGGCTAAGTGTCCGATCGTTATGAATGGAGATGAAATGCATGTGTAATGACACCAATTACGGAGCTTTCATCTGTTATTCAGGCGACACCGCCATTCACCACTGTCAGCACCCGTGGCTGGGGCCCGGGGCCCACGCTACCGCCTCTGCTGCTTGGTGGGTGGGGGTGGGGGTGGGGTGGGTGAGAGGGGACAGTGGCCCCACCACCACCACTTGGCGACCCCCAAGCCTGACTCCCACCTGGCCATGGCCTTGCGGTCTGAGGAGGCCCCGGGGTTGCTCTCCTCCAGGGAGACAGCACCTAGACGGGGAGGCGGGGGCAGCACTCGGCACCCGGGAGGGCACGGGGGTCTGGGAATGCGGAGCAAGTGAGGAGGGGACCCTGGGCACGGACAATCACCGCTGTCCGCTCCGTGCCGGGCACAGCAGGGCCCGATGTGAGAAGCTGTTTTACGAAGGAGGAACTGAGGATCAGAGAGGTTAGCAGACTTGCCTGATGCCACACAGCCCGCAAGGGGTGGGGGAGGACTTGAACTCGGCATTGCTTAACTCCTCATCCACCTGTGCCACCTCCCGGCCAGGGTCACTGCACAGGCCCGGGACAGTCCTCTCTGAGTCACCCATACTCTCCCAGCCAGCCAGCTCCCTTATGTGACCCCTGGCTTAGGGCAGACACCCATCACACACCAAGACTTATTTACTTTTTATTGATTGGGGGTGGAGCATTGATCAGTTGCCTCCCATATGCACCTCACCAGAGATCGAACCCGCAACCTTGGTACGTGTCCTGCCTGGGAATCAAACCCATGACATTTTTAAGGGCAGGGATGACATGCCAACTAACTAGGCCACGCTGGCCAGGGCAAGACTTATGTACACTTGGACAGGAACGGGCGGATCCGACAGGGACAGAAGGATGGGCGAGGACCACAGACACACTTCCCCTGCTGCCGCCCGCTTCACCCCATGAAGGTGACGGTCAAGTTCTTTCCCTGGAAAATGGCTGCCAAGGCCACACAGGCTGGTGTGGGCATCGCATGGGCCAAGAGCTCCCACCCCTGAGCTCGCTGTGGGGATGTGACGCTGGGAGCCCACAGTCCCAGCACCACCCTCCCCCTGGGAGCAAAGGGGGCTGGGACAGGGGAGGGGGGACAGCACCCCCCGCTCCGTCCAGAAGCACGGGGAGCAGGAGCCTGCTCTCCAAGGGGACGTTAGCCAGGAGCGCGGCCCCCTGGGAGCCGGTGTGCAGTCATTAGCGATACAGACAAACAAGTGCTGGAAGGGCTGCCAGGGGTGCAGAGGGGAGCAGGGTGGGGGGACCGTGTGCCCTGGGCCAGTCTCACCTCACAGGCCCAGGAGCCCGCCTGGTGCCTCCCTCCCCTGCTGCCCCAGGGTCAGGCCTGTGCACCTGACCAGGCACCTTACATGGACTGTACATGGAACCACCCATCAGCACCTGCCCAATACCCTAAGCCCCCACTCCTAAGTCCTTAGGTCCCTAATCATGTGCCTTAGGTGAAACCACCCATCAGCGTGTGCTGAGAGCCCTAAGCCCTGTCCCTTCCTTTTCCTCCCTTAAAAGGTGCCTTCACCCCAGCACTCGCGCTCTCTCCTCCCAAGGCAGCTGGCATCTTCTCTTCCAATGGAGCCGGTGTCCTGGTCTCCTGGTCCCCGTTTCACCTTTCAGAGAGGACTTACTTCAAACAGGGTGGTCAGGCACGGCCTCCAAGCCAAGGGGACATCTAAGCAGAGACGGAGCAGTGAGGGATGAGCTGGGAGGCAGAGGGCTGTGCCAAGGCCCTGGGGCCAGGGCATGCTTGATGTGTTGCAGGAAGGAGAGGAGTCCTTCCCTTACAGAGCTGCTTTGAGGATGAAAAGAAATGATATGTGCACAGCTCAGCACAGCGCCCGGAGTGTCTCGGGACTCTGGCCCAGGCCAGGGGCGGTTGGGAGGTGACGGACACCGGTCATTGGGAACCAAATACAACCAGCGGGGCAGGGAGGGATCCCAAAAATGAAGGGCCAAGGAGACAGAGGGACAGATGCACATAAGGAGACTCAGCCCCAAAAGCCTATATTAAGGACGAAGTGTAGGAGAAGAGGAGCCTGAGGACACAGCCAGAGATGCTTCAGAGGAAGATCTGGGGCTGAGGTGAGGCGGGGAAGCAAGATCCTAGTGCCCAGGAGGCGCAGGGAGGGCGTGGGCAGCCCGCAGCCAAGAGGAGCCAAGGAGCTGGCCTGCAAGGCGGGCGGAGCCTGGACTCCTGGGGCAGGGCCTGCATCTTGAGCCCCAGGTTCGAGCCCAGAGACGCTCGCTCCCGGAGGAGCAGAACCCGGCCCACCGGCTCCCATGCCCAGAGCCGGCCTCTGTCTAACCCACCCTCCGCCAAGTGAGCGCTTGGGGCCCCTAAGCGGCCTCCGAAGGCTGCAGTCCAGCCCAGACCACCGGCCAAGAACGATCCAGCCCACAGTACCCATCCGTCTCCCCAGCTGTCCTGCCCCTGCTCACGCTGGGCCTGGCCGGGAAGCCCCTCTTCAGAACGAGGGCAGGGCTCCCTGGTCCTCACGGAAGGGGCAAGCACTGCCCCCTCGGGAGATGTATTTATAACCCTCCTCCTTCCAAACCTGGGGTCAGGGAGCCGCGTCCTCCTGCGGGGCCTCCCGGCTCACCTCCCAGCTCCTCCGGAGGCGCCTGCCACCACCCCCACCGGCCCGGGAGAGGTGGGACTCCGCACTTCCTCCTCTCACCTCCTGCTGAACTCTGCATGTTAAGACGGGGACACAGCTCCTGATCTACCTTGTATTGTCAGGACCATTTCCTGTCCCCCAACTTCCCCGACAGCCACCTGCCGTACCTGGCCGGGCTCTTTCCAGGAACAAGCACCACCTCGAACCCGCCTTTACAGTTAGAGCCCAGCTCGGTGCCGGCACGCAGTAAATGCTCAAGCAATGTTTTCGGAGTGACTGCTGCAGAGAGGGCTGCGGCTCCCTCCCCTGGTCCTGGGGAGCCTGTCTCCAGGAGAGATGTCAGCCCCCCTAACTGGGGGGGACAGGTGTGCCAGGAACCCCCCTCCAGGCACCTGGGCGCTCCGACTCTGGCTCTCCGGCTGGGCCGAGTCTACTGGCTGATGGGGGTGCTGCCAGGGGCCAGGTAACCATCCCCCAGCCTTGAACCCCCAGCAGGGCGCTGGGCAGAGGTCCTGCCAGGGAGGCTGCTCAGGCACAAGGATGGCATGAAGCCCTGGTGCCCGGCATCCCAGGCTGACACTTCCGTGGCGGAGGGGAGAGAAGGAGGAGAGGGGGGAGGGGAGGGGAGGGGAGGGGGAGGACCTGGGGCTCCCTGTCCCCAAGGCCCAGCTGCCTGACTCTGTTCTTGCCTCCTCTCCCCCCCTCTCTCCAAAATAGTCCCCGTTTGTGTCATCCCTCCCCCCCCCTTTACACCCAACCCCCATGGTGACGGAAACACCTCTTCCTCCAGAGACAAGATGTTCAAGAGGCAAACGCGGGGCTGTTAGAACCAGAGCGGAAACACAAACCTACCCCGGAGGACATGGAGGCCTCAGGCGGGTGGGGGCTGTGGCTGGGCCCGCGGGCACCGGCCAGCGGGCTCTCCCTACCCGAGGGCGAAGGACCAGGGAGTCCTGCCCTCGCTCGGAAGCCTGCGTGCTCACAGACCAGCTGGTCCCGGCACTGCCCAGGCTGGGGAGTCGGGGCCGTGGCAGGGGCGAGGACCTCGCTGGGCACTCCCCTTCTAGAGGGCCTGGGCTCCGGTCCCCTGCCTGCGCCACGGTCGCTGGTCTCCTTTCTTTTCGTCCTAGGACAGTCCCACCGGGAGGGAACAGGGAGCGAGGAGCCAGCTCCAAAGGGAGCGAACCTGGGATGGAGCGGGGCTTCGGAGGGAGCTGGGCGGGAAGGGGCAGGTCCTCCTGAGTCACAGGCCTCCGCAGAGGCACCGGAGAGGCAGCCTGGACGCCTGAGGCCTGTGTGACCTTGAGCTAGCCCCTCCGGGTCTGTTTCCTTCTCTGTAAACCAAGAACAATGCCTGCCTCGCGCGGGCCAGAGGCAACACTGGAAGCAAGCAGAGGTGACACCTGACACACCTCGGATGCCTAATGGCCGTGAAATCGAGGCTCCGGGGCCTTCCTGGGGTGGCGGGATCCTGTGCCTCACATCCTCCATGCCTAAGGGCGGCGGTGGCGTGGGCAGACCCGATCCGGGGACCGGTTTAGCCAAAGGATGACCACCCCCAGGGGGGCTGATAAGTGAGCCCGGCCCCTGGCACCCGTGCAGACGGTGGGGGAGGGGAGCGTCCCGGGTCCCCTCCACCAGGCCTCCTGCCGGCCCGGAGAGAAGGAGGAGGTCCCGACTCTGCAGCCCTGGATGCCGCCCAAACCGCCGCCGGTCCCTCTGGGGCTGGGAGCCACCCTGCCTGAGGCTGAGCCCAGGGGGACCGAGACGGTGGGCAGGCGCGGTCGGGAGCCACGGCGCAGCCACCTCTGGGTCCAGCCGCGGGGAAGGGAGCAGGGCGCACACCCCCCACCTGAACTCGGAGCTGCCTGGGCCAGGCCGGTAGCTAGGCAACAGGCTCCCACAATCCTCTCGGCTCCCTTCCTGCTGGTGTCCGGTTTGCTCCATCATGTGTACCAGATGCTGGTGCCCAGGGGTGCCTGGGTCTGGGCCCTGCTCCTGGGGCTCCTGGGTCCCACTGGCCCTCGGTGAGGACCCCGAGGCCGCCGCCAGGGAAGGTCCGCGCACAGACCCCGGGGTCAGAAGCAGGGCTTTCTGGGAAGCCAAGAGGTGCCGCTTCTTCCTGCAGCAACACACATGGGCTCATCACCAGGCAGCCACGCTGGCCACTGGCCTGGGAGCCTGCAGGGCCCGGCACCGGGCACCTTCCTGGCTAACTCTCACTCACCCCGCACACCCCAGCTATGCGAGGAGCCTCTGGGGCAGGGCACGGGCAGGCATCTGGTCACCCTGAGAAGAGGCCTCTCCCAAACCCAGGCCACGGGCCGTGAGTTATGGGCCCAGCTCTGCCTTTTCTGAGCAGAAGAGGCACCGCCCACACCCCTCAGACCCAGAGGGGTGAGAACATAAGGGTCACTTCTGACATCACCGTCTGCCCTGGGTGTTCTGATGTCACCCGCAGGAGGTGCACACCCTCGCAACACCTCTCAGGCCGGAGTCCTCGAAAACAGCCTCCTTCAGGGCGGGGGGGGGGGGGGGGGGCGCGGGAAGCTGTTGTAAGGGGAGGAGGGGGTGCTTGGGGGGCCGGGGAGCCCTGGCTTTGATTCTCAGCTGCCACCATCCACCATCGGGCGGTGCGATCTGACAGGTTTATCCTCTCTCAGCCTCGAGCTATTAACTGAGGATGATACCTCCTCTGCAAACGTATGGGGGGGGGGGGGGGGGGGATTAGAGATTAGTGCAGAGGATGCGCACCGCGTGCTCAATAAATAGCTGTTACTCGTTTTTTAAATTCTCTGTTTTCATTCGTGTCCCAGGAACAGCTGCCGGCTCGCCTTGGCCCGGGGCCTGGGCAGGAGGCACGCGCTCTCTGGCCGGGGCTGCCACCGGCCGGACAGCTGGCACATCAGTCTGCGGACCGGTGGCTGGAGACGCACCGAGGAGGGGGGGTGGGGGGTGGGGGGCGCCTGGCGCTGCTGTCCGCTCAGTGTCTCTGAGGAGACACTTCCCGGCTCTGAGTCCTGAAGGAACCCTGCCTCGCCCCAATCCCCAGCCTCACCTGACCGCCCTGCGGATGGGGCGCTACACCTACAGGGCAAAGATGTGGGGTCCTGGCCGACTTCAAGGGGCTGGCCCGGCCCTGAGCCGACTCAGAGCCCCCTGGCTGGGCCACGCTTTGATGAGCTGAAGAAAGAAAAACGAACTCCTCGATGTCACAGCCCCTTGGAGTCCAAGAGGGAAGAACCGGAGAAGTCTGGTTCTCTGAAAGTCCCTCTGAAAGTCCCCTGAGGTCCTACAAACGCTCAGGAAGAGGGTCTGGGCCTCCCTGGCTTGTCCCACCTCCATCAAGCTCAGTCTGCCCCCGGCTCCCTGTCCCTCACTCGGGAAGAGCCTGAATGACCTGCACTTATCTCTGCCCGCCCAGTGCACACAGCCAGGGTCCAGGAACTGCCTGGAGAGGCCACAGAAGTCGCAGCAGCCCCAGGCCGGGGCACGGCTGGGCCCCCCGCCTTCTGAGCGGGTCTCGGGCCCCAGGGAAGAAACAAGGGCAGCTCCCTAGCTTCACCCTCAGGCCTGAAGGTCCCTGGCTTCCGGGGGCTGCCCTGGGACGCCCACAGCCCAGCCTGGCATCCATGGCCTCCGAGCCCTCTGCTCCCCCTTCTCTTCTCTGCCCCGGTCCAGCCCAGCCTGGCCCCTCCCGGAAGCCCCATCCTCAGCTCCTGCCTTTCCTTCCAGGACTCGACTGAGGCCTGGCGCAGGGGGTGCTGGGAGGGCAGCAGGGCTCCAGACTCACTGGGATGCCAGGGGTGGCAGGACCAGCTTCCGCAGCAGCAGGCAGTCCCCCGACCCCACACATCGGTCCCGAAGGACCCTGGCCAGGCTACAGGCTGCCAGCCAGGTCAGACCCCAGCCCCAGGGGCCTTTTCCAAAGAAGCTAAGCCATCCTTCATGGTTGTTTTCTAGCTGCCCAAGCATGTCTCCTGGCTCCCCCCCCCCCCCCCCATACACCCATTTCAAGCAGAACCCTGAACCAGGGTTTTCTGGAAAGCCAAGAGGTGCTGCTGCAGGAGGAAGCAGCAACACACATGGGCTCATCACCAGGCAGCTTGCAGGGCCCGGCACCAGGCACCTTCTCGGCTAACTCTCCCTCACCCCGCACACCCCAGCTGTGCGAGGAGCCTCCGGGGCAGGGCACGGGCAGGCATCTGGTCACCCTGAGAAGAGGCCTCTCCCAAACCCGGGCCACAGGCATGAGTCCTGGTCCAGGCTCTGCCTTTTATGAGCAGGAGAGGCTGAAGCTGGCGCCCACCTCTCTGAAACTCCCGGCTCTCAGCACTGAGGTGCTGGGGGACTTCCTGAGGGGGCTCCCTGGAGACAGCGAGTCCAGGGCCTGCCACAGCGTAGGCGCTACCCTCTAGTTCCTTCCCTAAACCCCGTCTGACCCTGGCAGAGGCCTGAGTGCGGCTCTCCAGGTCTCTGACCCCGAGGAGGGGTGCTGCGAAGAAGAGGGGGACCTGTCTTCCGCGAAGGGCCCCCCACTGGCTGGGAGGGGGTGCAGCAAAGCAGGCTGGTCCACGTAGTAAGTCAAGTGTGTGCAATTTCATGATGAGGCATGCAGGGGAGATTGTGTGTGTGTGTGTGTGTGTGTGTGTGAGAGAGAGAGAGAGAGAGAGAGAGAGAGAGAGAGAGAGAGAGAGAGAGAGAGATTGGTCCCTGGGGCCCACCGAAGGCACAGGAAATTGGGAGGAAAGCACAGAAAAAGGTAAGTCACTTGGGGCCAGGCGCCTCCCTGCCCCTACCCACCACCCACCACGCGCCTCCTTGCAGACCGGAGCCATGCATGACCCCGGCTCCCGCCACTCACCCTGGCCGCCCTGGAGGAGTAGGGGTCCTCGAAGAGCGCCCACATGCGGGGCTGCCAGCCGCGGCAGCCCCCGGGCCCGGACCCGGCGCCGGAGCCCGCGCCGCCGCCCTCGTGGGGCCCCAGGCGCTGCAGGGCCAGCTCCCGCTCGTCGTCGCCGGCCTCGTCCCCGGGCCCCGCGCCGCCGCCGCCGTCCGGGTTCTCGAAGATGTCCAGCGCCTCCTCGGCGTCGCGGTGCTGCCGGTAGGTCATCCAGCAGCAGGGCTCCACGTCCGTCTCGTCGATGCCCCAGAAGGTGAGCTCCTCCTCGAACAGCGGCCCGCACACGTCGGCGGGGCAGTGCAGCTTGCCGGTGCGGTAGTAGTTGAGCACGTAGGCGAAGACGCCCGGGTGCCGGTCGAAGAAGAACTCGCAGCCCCCGCCGCCGCCCCCGCCGCCGCCGCCGCCGCCGCTGCTGCCGCCGCTGCTGCCCGCGCCGCCGCCGCCATCGGGCTCGGGCCGGGCCCCGCCGCCGTCCGGGTCGGCCAGCCAGGCCAGGCGGGTGCCGGGCAGGGTGCGCAGGGTGCTGCGGTAGGTCTCATGTCGCGTGCCGCCCACGTTGATGACGATCTTCTCCGACGCCTCGCCCTTGGCCATCTCCTCCTTCAGACATGTTTTGGACGGAGGCTTGTTCCCCGACTTGCGCCCGCGGTAGGAGGACACGCACACCGAGCTGATCATAAGCGGCGCTGCGGGGCTCCGGCGCGGGGCGGCCGCTGCCCTCCAAACACCCTTCCCGAGGCGGCGGCGGCGGCCGGAGGGCGGGGGCGGCGGGCGGCGGCGGCGGCGGCCCCCTCGGCGGCGCGGCCCTGCCCCCGGGGCGCGGAGGAGCGGGAGGAGCGGGAGGAGCTGGGTGTCCCGGGTGCACAGGTGGTTGGGGTTGGGGCACGCGGCGCCCGGGAGGCAGCAGGCAGGCGGGGGGCAAGGAGAGCCGGAGCCCCCGCGAGGGGCCGGGTGCGGGAGGGAGGGCAGGGGAGGCGCGCACGCTCTTCCCCGCTAGGAGCGGGCACCCAGACACCCGCGCCCGGACACGGCCCCCCAACACCCCGGGAGGGACACGGCCCCCAACACCCGGGAGGGACACGGCCCCCACACCCCGGAGGCGCACGGCCCAGGCGCACGGCTTGGCTCGGGGCGCGCTCACTCACACGGCCCCCGGCTCCGGCCGCACCGAGCCCGGAGCGGCGGCCTCCCCGCGGCGGCGGCGCAGCAGCAACAAGTCCTCCGGGGCCGGCGACGCGCTCACGGCAGCCGGGGCTCCTCGGGTCCGGGCTCCGGCCGGTCAGCCCGCGGCGGCGGCAGCATGGGGCGGCTTCTCCCCATTCACAAACCCAGCGCGGGGCGCCGAGGGCGGGCGGGGCCGCGCCGGGAGCGGCGATCGGGCGGGCGGGGGCCGCGCGGGGCGAGGCGGCGGCAGGAAAACAAGCGCCCGCAGCAGCGAGCTCCGGCCCTGCGTCCGGGCGGCGGCTGGGAGCGGCGGGGCCGGGGCCGCGCCGGGCGGAGGGGGTCCCGGACGGGGCGCCGATCCCGGGGGGCGGGATGCTCCGGGGAGCGGGGCTCCGGGCGCCGGCGAAGGAGCCTCCGGGGCGGGCGGGCGGGCGGGCGGCGGCCGCGCGGCCAAGGACACCTGCGGGCTCTCCGGGCGGCGCGGAGCGGGAGCCTCAGCGCAGCGCCCCGGCGCCCGGCTGCTGCGATCTGGCGGCGCCGGGAGCCGGGCCATCCGCGCGTCGGCCCATCTCCGGGCGGGGCGCCGGCCTTGGCGCGCGGCGGGGGGCGGGCGGGAGGCGGCCTAAGGCGAGGGGAGCGGGGGGGCCGAGGTCCGGGGGGTCAAGAGGCTCCTCGCCTCCCGCCAGCGAGGCCAGCGGGCACCGCTCTCCCTCCCGTGGCGCCTTTTCCTCGGGCCCCGCCTGGCCCGGCGCGCCCTCCGCGGGGCGGGCGGGGTGGGCGGGGCGCGGCGCGGGGCCGGCCGGCTGGCTGCGGGGTCCCGGCGGCCCGATCGCAGCCTGTCCCCGCCGATCCGAGCCCCGCCGCGGCGCGTCACCCTCTCGCCACCGGCGCCCAGCCGAGCGCGCCGCCCCGCGCGCCCCCGCCGCCCCCTCCGCCCCGCTCCCCTCGCCCCCGAGCCCGCAGCTCCTCCCACTGCAGCCCCGGGACCGCGGAGCGCGCCTCACCCCTGACCTCTGACCTCCGTTCGCCCCTCTGGCTGCCTCGATCGCCCCCTCCCCGCCCAGCCGGGCGCATGGTTGCGGTTGCATTGCGGCTGCCTGCAGGCAGGGGAGGAAGGCGAGCGGAGGGAGGGAAGGTGTGTCTGGGAGGAAGCAGCCCCCTCCTGCTCCAGACTCCGAGCTGGGGCCTCCTGACCACTCACTCCACCAGCAGCCTGCGCCTGCCGGGCCCCGCCAGGCCCCGCCAGGCCCAGATGTCCGTGGTCTGGACGCTGACGGCGTGTCACACTCACAGCCCCCCTGGTGGCCTGGGAGACCCCTCGGGCTGCTGACAGTGGGTGGGCCTGAAAGATGACTAAGTTAAGCCTTGGCTCACCTGCCTGGGGACACGTAGGAGGCGCTTCCCTGCCCTGGGACCCCCTCCTGGTCCCGCTGATGCGATGTGACCTCGCCCTGTGTTGTCTTCCCACCGCCCCACTCTGAGCCGCCTTCCCCTGATGCTCCCCCGCACTGCACTGAGAACTTGTTTGCTAAGTGACTGCGAAGCTGCCATGCCCAAAACATTGGGCACCAACAGCTTTGACTGGCCTCATCCCAACAGCAATTCCCAGATTCGTTTGTGTTTAGGCCCAGAACCTCTTAATCTTTAAATTAAGCCTCTTAAAAAAGAAGAAGAAGAAGAAAAAAAAGCCGTTTCAGGCAGCCTCCGTACATCCGTCTGGGTGAGGGAAGGGGGATCTTAAGGCAGAAATGCAGGTGAGGGAGGCACCGGCCCGTCTCCTGGTCAGGAGCGCCTGGCTGTCCTGGGACAACCAAGACAAGGGCCCGTGGCAAAGGGAAAAGCCCAGCGCAAGTTCAAGGGATTCAGGAAAAATGAAGGAATGGAGGCAGAGCTCGGCTGGCGTGGCCCAGTGGCTGAGCATCAACCGATGGGCCGAGAGGTCCTGGTTCGGTTCCCAGTGAGAGCACGTGCCCAGGTTATGGGCTCAGTCCCTAGTGTGGGGCGTGCAGGAGGCAGCCGATCCATGATTCTCATCATTGATGTTTCTCTCTCTCTCTCCCTCTCTCTTCCTCTCTGAAATCAATTAAAAAATGTTTTGTTTTCTTTTTTAAAAAAAGAATGAAGTCAGAAAACCAAAATGACAATGATCTTTGATGATCTATACCACATGTGTCAAACACAAGGCCCGCAGGCCAAATCCGTCCCGCCAGGCCTTGCAATGTGGCCCGCACCGCGCTGTCATCACTGCACTCCGCTGCATTTCCATCACAATGACAGTTTATGACTGTTCAGTAAACCATTCAGCCTGCGATTTAGGCTGGATTTTAGATTTTGGCCCCTTCTCTGATTGAGTTCGACACCCCTAATCTATACTGATATGCCGAGGAGGTGGGTACCATCTGGGCTGTAGTCAGAAACACACACTCACTGGCACCCCTTTTGTATCTAGTCCCCCCCACCCCCACCCCTAGGACATGGTGTCTGCATTTGAAAGCTCAGTTGGCTCTGAGTTTGCTGCGGCAAAAAAAAAAAAAAAGAAAAACCCCAAATGTGACCGGCAAGAGAAGGCCTGGGCCTGGCCGGAAGCTGGAGCGAGGAAGGAAGAGCCACGGCGAGGACAGTAATGATCCGATGGGGATGAATGGCTGCACGGTCCCATCCGGCCAGGCACCTCTCCCCACCTCCCGTTCTTCACGCTGCCTGACCTCAGTCATCCCAGAGGAGAGGTGAAAGCCCACCCTACTCCCGAGTCACTTGTTCATTCAGTTAGTATTTCTTGCCGAAACCGGTTTGGCTCAATGGATAGAGCGTCGGCTTGGGGATTGAAGGGTCCCAGGTTCGATTCCGGTCAAGGGCATGTACCTTGGTTGCGGGCATATCCCCAGTAGGGGGTGTGCAAGAGGCAGCTGATCGATGACTCTCTCTCTCATCGATATTTCTAACTCTCTATCTCTCTCCTTTCCTCTCTGTAAAAAATCAATAAAATATATATATTTTTAAAAAACAGTATTTCTTGAGGGCTTAAAGCTGTTCTAATAAAACAGAAACCCTAGTCAACCTCTGCCTCTTGGAGCTTGCATTCTGCGGTGTCTGCGGGTGGTGTTCCATTCCTCCAGGACCTTGGCATGCAGGGAGCTGGGCGGAGGGAGAAAGCTGCCAGGGGAGCAGGAGACCTGAAGGGGAGGGAGGTCAGAGAGCTGGCGGTGAGGTAAGGGAACCTGGAAGAGCCAAGGAGATCAGAAGGCCCAGCCTGGGAGATGCAGCGGGAAAGGGCCCTGGGTGGGAGGACCCCGGACTTCGACCACGGATGGGCTCCTGGCTGGACTGGGGAGCTCAGCCTCGGCTCACGGGCCTGCAGAGAAGGCCTCACCCTGTGCGAAGGGTTTGATGCTAGACTCTGGGCTAACCTGTCCCTGGGCCTTTCTGGAACTTTCTGGGTGACTGAGTATGCCGCAGTGGGCATCCTAAGGCTTGTCCCCCATCAGTTCTGTGTGTATGAGGTCATGCCATTTCCCCAAAGCCCGGAACCCAGGGAGAGCGGGAGGAGAGTCCCCTGCCTGCTTGCCTGCCGTGGGAGTCTACTGTGGACGGGTGGGTGCTGCCCCCTCGTGGTGCTAGGAGGCCCTGCACCAGCCCTCTCATCAGCTGAGGGCTGTGATGATGAGAAAACCGGCTACAAGGCCCGGGGTGAGGAACCCTGGCTCTGGATTTCCTGTCAATCCCAGGGCCTCCTGCAGCGCTGGCAGCTCAACTCCCAGCGGGGACTCTGCCTGTTCCCTCCCTTTCCCAGTCCTCCAAGACCTCCTTAACGGACAGGCATGAGCAAGGCTAGGAGCAGTCCAGTCGGACATTCCTAAGTCTGATTCTTTCCCTCCATCGCCCCCGTTTCTCCGCCTTCGGCCCCTGGTGCTGTGGTACCTGCTGGTGGTCAGGACGGAGCATCTGTCTAGGATAAAGGTGACCGAACGTCCCGCTTTTGGCGGGACAGTCCCCATTTTTAACAATTCGTCCCGCATCAATCGGGGACTTTTTTAAAACGCCGTGGGACAAATTGTTAAAAATTGGGACTGTCCCGCCAAAAGCGGGACGTTCGGTCACCTTTATCCTAGACAGTTGCTCCTTCCAAATTTTTAACAATTTGCCCCGCGTCCCGCGGAGTTTTAAAAAAGTCCCGATTAAGCCGAAACCGGTTTGGCTCAGCAGTAGAGCGTCGGTCTGCGGACTGAAAGGTCCCAGGTTCGATTCCGGTCAAGGGCATGTACATTGGTTGCGGGCACATCCCCGGTAAGGGGTGTTCAGGAGGCAGCTGGTCGATGTTTCTCTCCCATCGATGATTCTAGCTCTCTCTCTCTCTCCCTTCCTCTCTGTAAAAAATCAATAAAATATATTTTTAAAAAAAAGAAAGAAAGAAACTCTCTCTTAAAAAAAAAAAAAGTCCCTATTAAAACGCCGAGGGACGCGGGACAAATTGTTAAAAATCGGGACGTCTGGTCGCCTTAGTCTAGGAGCCGGGTCAGGCGGAAGTGACAGCCACAGGGCCTCCCTCCCAGGAGTCGAAGTGTGGCCAGCAACGAGGGAAACCCGGCTTGATTCCCGAGGGACACGGGTGGGGCTTTCAAACCTGCATCGTTTCTAGGACCCATCGCCCCAGGCCCTCGTCCCCAGCACTGAGGGCGGGGCCCCTGGGGCGGGCCTCAGCCGCTTTGGGGTGACCAGGGCCCTCCGATCGCCTCTTCGGGCTCTGCTTGTCTCGAGGGCTCCAGGCCTGGAAACAGGTCCCACAGCCGCCAAGACAAGGCCCTGCCCATGGCCACTCCCGCCTCCCCCTGGTGGCCTTCCAGCTCCTTCCTGCCAGGAGCCACC